TGAGGTATTTTTATTGAGAATTTGACGTATTGTTTTATTCCTTAGAGCGGTTGTAAATATTCCCATACAAACTCTTATAATTCCGCCATGACTGTTATTGCGCAAACGATCACCTCACAGTTGGAGCTTGGGCTGCCTGTGCGCAATTCAAACGTCAAACGATTCCATAACAGTACATTTGACAGAAAACCTGTCAAGCTGTAAAGTTGTCTTACAACTCGAAACACTTCTGGCCAGAAGTTTCGCCGGGAGACTTTTTGCGTCTCTTGTGGTTTACTTTGCACATTGTTGATTTCACTTAAAAAAAAAAAAAAAAGCTTCGAACAAGAAAGCGGTATTTATTATTCCATTGGCATGACTACGTCATTCATTATTCCAAGGTTTTGGAACCCAATTATTCATTATTTACTTTCAACTTAAACCCGTTATTCATTGTTCATTATTCAGCTTCCACCCCCGGTAAGGAATAGTATTGGAAACAAAATTTGGTCGATTTACAGCGATAAATATTTCAAAATATGAACATTTTACACGTAAAATCAATAATACTTACTGACATCTTGTGTGTCCGTTGTAGTTTCTGGCGATTTCTGCCGTTTTAAGCTTGCTTCTCCATCACTGCTATTTCTGTCATAAGACAACGTTTGATTTTCTTCAGCTTTGTGTAAATTATGCAAATTACTATCGCAGATCATCGATGTGCTGTCGTTTGAAAATTGCTCGAATAGTTAAAAATACCCTAAAAAAATCTTTTCACTGATCTGAGCAGGGATTTGATTTCTAATTTTCAAGAAATTATCATTCAAGCCATCAGATATGATGCAGTAAGTGTGAAAAATAAAATGACGAATGAGTTTTCAAAGTCACTTCGGTTTTATCAACTGAATCAATAATGCCAATTGGCCACAGAGTTGTGAGGCTGACGTTTCGAACGTTTGATAACCTTTCGTCAGATCGGAACTATTCACTTTGACAAAGGGCTGACGCTTGAAACGTCAGCTTCAGAATTAATTTCTCTATGGTGGCTATTTTTTGTTATCAACTTAGTTGATAAGTAGAGAATAATACATGGGAGCGCGTAGATATGGAATTTCTCTTTGAGTGTTTAACTCGATGAATTATTTTGTTTATCATATGAAGACAATAGCCTTTTATTGAAAGAAAAGCCGAATTTATTAATGAATGAAAATATATGAATCGACAATCCCCGAATAACAATTGTAGAGTGCGTTAGCGCCAACTCTTAAGATGGAAAATGTGTTGGCTCATGATTATAAAAACAACAATGGTCGTAATTTTTAATTTACAAAATTCTCAGTTATTGACTTTGTCCTTACTGACAGAAGAAGTCTTTCAGGTAAGCAGCCAAAATCGGCCTGTGGCAAATCTTCCAGTTGTCGATTTTAATTCTCAGCTGGATGAAATGCTAACACTAAAGCCACTGAATACATAACTTTCAGTTTTTCTTTTAGTATATTGATTTTTTTCCCTTTCTAGGAAAATTTTAACCTCACTGTCTGTCAACGATAAGGAATTTTTAGTGTTTTAGCCGCCATAGTTCAAGAAAGCTCCGACAAACAACTTGTATGTAAAATCGTGAGGGCTTTGCCGTTCATTCACCAACCTGACCGAGTGGCGCCAAAGGCGAGTGACGTGACAGTAGCTGATTGGCTATATCAACACAAGTGAAAAAATACGATATTTTTCCACGTGTGTTGTTACGGCTTTTCCTAGGCCCGGAAATCTCTATATAACACCGTAGTTTATGTCATAAAATCAAGTTCTCTTGTGATAACCCTACCGACGCAGTACCACAATTTATTTGGAAACTTACCCCCTTATTCATTTCCTTAAAAATCAGGCTATATGCATTGTTTGCAAAGTATCAAACGCTATGGATGACAAGAATTTTTTAAACAAATCCTTGTTTCCTTGACACTTGACACCGTAATCACCACTTTAAGCTCGTCTCTGCAGTAACTTTTTTAGCATAAAATTCCACGTCAGCAATTAATTGGAGATTTCGTGCTTTGAAGTGAGTTGGTCCTAAACTCTCCGCCGTACGTAAAAGACATGCCAGGCCGAAGAAAGTACCGGGCAAGCCCCGCCGGTTTTTCCAAATTTCTAAGGTAAATCAAGATATCCGGAAGGTCGAGCATGCGATTGATTAATATATGATTGACTGCTTTGTTCAACTGAACGCCCCACCGGTATATCTAAGTTTCTGGAGTAAATTATGATAAATGAAGAACAAACAAACGATTGAACGATGTAGAATTCAGTGCTTATTTCAAGCGCATCGTAATCTTCGTTCGTGGAAAATCATAAACTCGCTACTTTAAGCGCCGTTCAAACGGTCATGATAATTGATGATGGTTTCAACTATCACGCGCATTCGAACACGAACCATAAGGCACTATGATCGACTATCGTCGATTACCGTCAACTATCATGCAGTGTCGACATGATAGTGTATGATAGCGGAGCTCGCAGAGCGTTACCTCATAATTATACAAAATAGTAGTAACCCATCAAGCTGATTAAAAATTTGGATGTACGACCGTACGACCGTACAAGGTGTATACTTTAAACATGCGTGGTCAACTGTACCGCGGGCACGCCAACGGCACGGCTTTGTCCAGTAGTCCAGTGGTCAGTGCACTGGGCTCCGAGTCAGATGACCCGGGTTCTAGTCCTGGCCAGGGCAAGGCGTTTTGCCCTTGAGAAGTGCGGGAAAAAAAATGCGAGCTACGCTTTTAGGCTTGGCTTAATCTATATATTAGTTTTTCGGTAAGCAGTTTTGCCAAAAACGGACTTAAACCGAAATGACAAATGGGAACTAATGACGTCAAAATTTCTAAAAATGTCTCTTAGTTTATACTCATCATCTCCTGGTAGGCTTAAGTCTCTTCTACTCAAAACTCGTCGACTGAAATTTCAAAATGCCACCGAAATTGCAGACCTCAGCGATCTCAATGGAAATCTCATCGCGTAATTTTGTCATTTTGTCAAAAATCGTCAACAATAATGATGAACCGTCTGAACGCGAACGTAAACGTCAATGATAGCCAGAGATTATACAATCTATTAAAAACATATCACCTATATAATGAACCTTTTGATCAGGGTTTTAATGTTTATGAGAATTGCCAAAATTCGGCAAAGAGCGATTTCTTTTTGAACACGCAATTAAATCATTCCGCTACTTTTGCTTTCTGATTAGTATCAATAGGATTGCTTTTCCAATAAACTCTCATGCTAATAACTATTTCATCTGATCAAGTCTGAACAGAACTCGCAGAATCAACCAATTTATGGTTTCTTGATTGGTTACAAGTTGGTAGATAGCCTTGAGAACATTTTCTTCTGCCTACAGATTTGCCAATGGCGCTTGTAGGCCCCACATTCTCATTCTCTCAAACTATACGTTAAATGCTCTTCTTTCTCACAATCCAAGGTTATTCTGAAATCTGAAGTTTGGGTTTTTTAAAGTTTTTTTGGGGGTTAATTTGGCTGTATAGAAATACCACGACCGCCAATGACGTGTTGGTGCAGATAGACGTAGTAACCTCTTTAGGATCAACAACAATTGTTCTGAGGATGACTTATATATGAACTATTCTTTTGTTTCAGTTGTCAAGGAAATCGTTTCTGTATCCTGATTGGTCTTTGTCTCTTCGTTGTTATCTTGGTTTGTGTGCAAATGAGGCTTCTGACTGGAATATACAAGGGGATATTGGTGGAGAAGTTCTATAAAAATGATCATGAGCTGAGCCAGGAAAATAGCTCTTTACATACAAGAGGAATGCGAGGCCAACACGAAGAGAAGAAGCGACTGAATGTGATAATTCTGACCCATATGAGTTCCGGTTCATCTTTCACCGGGAACATTTTCAATTTGCATCCAGATGTGTTCTATCTTTACGAACCCCTTCACGATTTAAGAAAGGTTGAATATGAAGAAGACTGGATTCCGTTGAACAAAACCATGAACGATGCGTACAAAATTGACTTTTCCAATTTGCTTCGGGACCTGTTCACGTGTGAGTTTAAGGAAGAAACAACTCTGAGGAGAATTTTTGCTGAATTTTTGAATGTGCCAAAGCGTATTGCATTTATGTATTGGCGCTTATTGAACTCAGAAAACACAAATGAAACGGTCAGGAAAACTTGCTTAACAAAACATATAACAGCAGCAAAAATCATGCAGACAAGGCTGCCACGTGAAATCGGAATACAAGAACTACAGAACTTCTGTGGTTCCAGTGGTATGAAGTTCAACTGTTTGTTTATTCACCTCGTGAGAGATCCCCGCGCAATGCTCTCTTCGTTATTGAGGCGTAAATTTTTTATTCGGGATTCCAGAAATTTGATGTTTTCATCAAGAAACTTGACTTCAGCAGCTGCGGAATTTGTTAAGAAAAATGCGCAATTATTATGCTCGCAGGTTGCTGACAATTTAAATTATGTCAAGCAAAACTGGTATAACTTTTACGACCGTTACACGCTCTTGCGTTATGAAGATATCCTCACGGATCCTTTATTCGCAACGAAGAAGTTGTATAATTTTGTTGGTCTTCCAATGGTTGAATCTATCTACAAGTGGATCGTGGGAGGTAAACAATTTGTTAACACGACTGGTTCCCAGTTCTCACAGAAGATTGTAACTAGAATTGATCACTGGAGGTCGGAACTAGATCCCTCTCTGGTATATTTATTCGAGGAGGCCTGTAAACCTCTAATGAAACTAATGGGATATATTTCTATAAATGACCTTGGTCAAGCTGAGCAGAAGGACAGTCAGTTGTTAATTACTGAAGAAATACCAGTTTTGGAGGAGTTGCCATACATGAAATATTGAAGATATATTGCAGGGAATCAATACAATTTGAAGTAAAGCACTGTGTGGCTGTCACAATGGGTGCCGTAAAGAGAGGAAGAAGTGCGAGATTTATCCCCCTGCATACCCCGCCCCTAGGCCTATTTCAATCTAGTTTTAGCACATCCTATGATACTCCTCGTAATTTCTTGCTTTGGAGAACGGAACGAAGTCCGGCGATGGGGTGAAAAGGAGTATTAGGGGTATTTTATTGATAATAATATTTGTAACGCTACTTATCCTTGATAATCATTTTATTCAATCATCAATGCGTCAGTTTTTTTTTCCTTATTTCTAAAGCAATAAGCTGCTCTGTTCATTTCATGACGTTACCTAAAAATGTAAGAATATAACTAGATTTAGTGATTTCAGTTCTTCATTGCAAGATGAACGTGGCAGTAAAATTTTTAAAATGAAGTTCCACTCAAAACTGCTCTATAGACAGGCTTAAAATCTTCGCCTCGACCCAGCTTAATCCGAGTAAAACAATGCAGTAGCTGTTCTTAAAGCAACGAAATATCTATTAGTAACTTCGAATTAATTTCCAATACTAAACTATTAGATGTCTCTTTCATTACGTATACGTGATCTATCAGTCCAAATTATATTGCCAGGAACCCCTACGCAAACATCATATGGATACAGTGCCTTGCGAAGCCATAATGTCTCACAAGGCAATAAGAAAGAGTTGCATCACAGCTTTTTCGTTCCAGCTATGTCCCATGATCAACTCAGCCAGCCTAACTCAACAGAGAAGTTTTTTCCGGCGAAGTTTCTATCGAATGGGAATGTAGCACCTCGAGGTAATGTTACTTCGCTTAATATCGGTCATGAAGGAAGGCGAAAAATTGTTTCATGCCTCGGTAATAGATCTTCTCAGATATTTGTCATATACTTCAGAGATTTTTCACAGCCATTTATCGATAGATTCCATAATAAGGGAACTCGCAGTTCACAGATAGGGAAGTGACTACGGTAAACCTTGTCGTAATGTCTAATGTAATTATAAAAGGTGACTTTTATCACATTTGTAAATTGATTTTGTAAGAATGACCCCTTAATCAGGGAACTGAATTCTTTGGAAACATTTAGTTTTTTCGTTGATAGCCATCCTAGGATTGTTTTTATTAGCATCTAGAGCTTTTGAACTGCTACATTTAATCATCACTGTGGACATAAGGTAGTTTGCGCACTTGACCATTCTTCTTGATTTTGAACTGAAAATTACAACGAAAGCAGGAATTCAGATAATGGAAATGCTGCTGGAGACTTCAAGGAGAAGTTACAATGACTTCAAACCTGCCTGCTAGAGGTAACATAAGTAAATAAACGCCCCAGGCGCTAAATCGATTTATTACGATATTGAACAAATACGAGTTGCTGGAGTTATGCAGAATGGGACGCAGATCATTATCACCAACTGTGAACCGTCAATCCACTTAGGGACCAGTCATCCGGGGGGGGAGGGGATCGAAAAAAATTGGTTTTGTCACGACGAATTTACTTGATCCCCCATGAGGCTCTGTAATATTCCTTTGCCTCACTCCCTTCCCCCCCCCTTCCCCCTTTATTGGCAGTTAGTTGGCAGTCAATTTTATACAGTCCTCCCTTTATGTATTCTTTTGATGACGAATGCACCCTCCGACCGTTACCCCTGAAAACATGTGATCCACCCCAAACCAACACCCCACCCTACCCCCCCTCCCCCCCAGGGCATGAAGAGTGATTGTTTACCATTAGTGTGTGTGGATTGTGTGGATATTAGTGTACACAAATATATATTCATATATTTTTTCTTTTTTTTTTCTTATGTATATTTTAAATAGTACAGTAAACTTTTTTAGTAAGTTCACACCCCTACTGGAAACCAGCTTTTTATAATATTGATGATAGGCTAGCGTATTTAAATAAAGTTTAACTATCTATTATCTCTCTATCTATCTATCTATTTGGTCCCTTATTCGTTCGTATTGCACAACTGGACACTGAACATCGATTGCTGTCATCTTCCCCCCCCCCCCCCCCCACCCCCTTTCCACTCTCACCCCAATAACTACATTCTCATTGGTTTATGAGCAGTGCAAAGCACTTTCATAGATATTTTGCAAGCCTTAAAGTCCCTCATAACTTTAGTTATTTCAAGCGATCGAAACAGAACTCTCCATCGCAGTTCTAGTTAATCAATGATACCTATATAGTCCTATGCGATTTTGATAATTTAAGAAACTGAAAAAAAACAAAAAATTGTTTTTTTTCATATTCCAACCTACCCACTAAAACTACTTACTTTGTCTTAATATGTTAGGGTATATTTAAACAGTACTGGGTTTCTTAGAAATATATATTCATCAATGAACAAAGTATTAATGTCATGATGTGGTAAACCGCCACAAGCCGGCGTGTACAATACGCATTTTCCCGCCATCACTTGGCGTCGCCCTTTATCGATCTTTGAGTCTCATGTTCTAAATATAGCCACGTGGACCGGACTCGGTAAGGATCAAATCACACACGAATCTATAGGCGACGATGGAAGAACACGATAACAGGTTTGTTGTTAACCGCTCTCCCAAAATCGTGCGTGGATCGATAAAGAGGCAGTTAATCGTTTTTACAATGTTAATTGGAAATTTTCAAATTTGCCACATCGAGTTTACAAAGAAACAAACAACAGTTTCTTGACTAACCAGAGTGTTTGCGGTGATGGGCTACTTTGGAAATAATAAAGTAATACTGGACTTACAAATCTGTTCGACTACTAAGAGGAAATTGGTCGGTGCGGTTCTCGACAGTATCCGCCGCTAGCTTAGGAAACAAGTTATAAGCGATATATCGAACTTTACTTTTAAGGTCTCTTTTCCTTAAAGTGTACGCAAGTGGGTTGAACATTGACGTACATAGCCTAAGGTAATAGATAGCGAAAACAGTCATTGGATGTAAATTATCATTATGGGTCTGTTGCACGATTTCCAATATGAAATAAGGCAGCCAGAAGATGACGTACAGTGTGAGAAGGAGAACACAAGTTAAAACAGCTCTCTGGCGCCTTCTTTGAAGCTTCCTCTCGCGTTTCTCAAACTCTGTGGGCAAATTCTCACGTGCAATTCTCTGACACTGACTTCGAAGCAGCAACAGCATGTGGGTATCAAGTACACTCATGATAATGAGTGGAATCAGAAAAAATACGATGACGTTAAACAGAAATAGTGTAGTCTCCTTCTGGTGCATAGGTTCCAGGTCCTCTGGGGCTGTTTCTATATTGAGGTTCCAAGTCCATGAAAGTCGAACCAAAGAGGTGAGACTGAGAAACCACGTAATGCCAAGGACGATCAAAACTCTTTTACGATGGACGATATCGCGGTAGCGTAACGCCCATACGATGTAGATGTAACGATCGCAGGTCATCACAGTGATGTGAAGCACGGTGGAGAGGGCCATGAATGTGAAAAAAGTATATGAGCTTATACAAATGGGAGATATATAAGTATAGGTACATGCCAAGAGGAGTGGAATTCCAACCAGACCTACCAAGAAGTCTGATACAGCTAAACTGGCCAAGATGATGTTGCTTGGCGTTCGTAAGGACGAATACGAGGCAATAAGAAAAATGACACCGCCATTAATCGGTAAAATAAACACCATAAAAACTAAAGCAGGAACTGTTTGAGGCGAAAAGGCAAAAGGGCTGTCATCTGTAGAATTTGACGACATCGTATTTCTGATCGTTCTCGAAATCACCTGCGTGGTGAAGATTTTATCCCCGTGATGAATACTCCTTTCTTTTCAAATAAAGTGTGCTTGGTTTTCTGTTACAAGCGTATATTGATTCAAGTAGAACTGAGAGCTTATTTGGGCCTTTGATTCGAGAAGACAGTTTGGTGAAGGCCCTCTTTCTTTGGACGTCTGTCGTGATTGTATCTGTGAACAAATCAAACACAAAAAATCAATTCAATTCTCCATTCGCTCAATCTGATGAAAAAAAATGAAAAGACTCTGTGATGTTGCCTTTCTGAAATATGTGTTGGTTCAGCTGCTTCTCTGGGCCTGATGTAATTTGCATGATATCTATCTATCCATCAAGATTTGATCTCCTTTTTAGGTTCGAGCCTTCAATCAAAATATATTTTTTGAATAATGAAAAATAATGATTAAAAGAAACAGTGCAGTTATATCAAAGATATTAATTTGTTAATCATCCAGTGGAATAGAATGCTTGCTGAGAACAATTTCGTCTTTTTTTCTCCGTTTATTACATGCAAATTACTGTATAACTCCAATTTTTTTTCTTAGATCAACATTTGCAGATAATTGGTTGGACATGAATTATTTCTCTCCCTTGGAAAAATCAAGATATATTTTCCATAGTGTTGGGCAGACACGTAATGAATGTTTAATCGGTTTACAAAATAGCAGATAAGTTAATGGCAGAGTTGCTTAAACCGCAATTTAACCTGCTCACTAATTTTTTTACTCTTAAAACATCTCCACAGATTCAGTATATTTTGAGTTTGCTGACTTTTAACTAGACACGTGACTCTCGACCAGTGTATGACAAATGAAACTCCCATATGTTCCTTTCTATTCTTAGCAAAAGTGCCTTTCCGGGCTAAAGGTTTTGCAAAGATCTGCAGTGTTTACTTCAATTGATTTTCTTTTCTTTAACTTGGAAACAATGGACAATTCTTTTCATTTCTCAGATAACGTTAATCTGTTGAGTAAATTTCCATGATATTTATTTATACTTCTACACGAAATCGGGCCAATTTGTGATCTGAATCAGCGTAAAGATTTACGCATTTTTCGGTTTGTTTTCATACTTTTCTATGAACTGAAAAATCGACGCGCACGACTGTGTTTCAAAGAAAAAAAACAGTGTCTGTGAGAAGTGTCCAATTACCAGTTCAGTGTTTTACCGTTTCTAAGCTGCAGGCCTTAAGAATTCATTGGGTGCGTAGATGTGTTTACTTCGATCTACTAAGTACGATATAAATTTGTTATGATTTGGTCATAGACGACCATGGTTCAAAATCACTTTGGTGAATACAAAGCGTCAGGCTGTAGACGGATCCTCCCTTTTTCCGTCGATGCAATAAAGATAAAACATATTGTGGTGTAAAAGAATTAAAACACTGAGTGATCAAAGCCAAATAAATGCCTTTAAGCTAGGATAAAATATTAAGATCTTTCTCAAGACTATTATTTCTAGTCGCAATTAAGATAAAAAAAGAAATTGTTCGCAGCTTATTTCATGCAAATATCGATTGAAATTTGATACTCAAGTTTTCGTCACTGCAATTACAAGTAAGTTTCACCAACCTTATTCTCTATCGTTAAAAGCCAAAATTTAAAATGCACAGGCCGCCTCCTCAAGAGAACTAAGCTTGCCTCTGGCACAGCGCTCTTATAATTTCGAGTTGAATTGCGATTGTAAATATCAGTTATTCCCTGCTGACAACTTTTGGTAATTGTAGGATCCAATTATCTCTTTAGAAAGTTTCCGTTTTCGATATATACAGCGCTGTATGCCTCTTTAGATCTGTTTAATTATTATTATGATTTTACGCAAAAATAGAATGATTTATAACGAGAAAAAATGCAAATAAGTATGACCTCTCGTTTTTCCTTTCTTACGCAAAATGATCGGTTATGTTCTTTGAGCTTTATGGGTCAAATATTGCAATAGTTTTGTCGTGTTTTTGTTTCATCTGAAAACAACCAAAAAAACAAAAAAAAAAAAAAAGACAGAAAAGAAAAACCATAAAAACAAAAAAGCATAGGAGTAATAATAGTTACTGTAAGGCTTAAAAAAAAAAATTTAAATATTCACAACCAACATTTCTTGTAAGTCGTTCGTATGCAAAATATGGCCGAAGGTCAAAAATTGTTCAAATTAAACAAGGCAGGCAAAGTTACAGCGGTAGAATGTCTTTGGTCTGATTAAGCCCTCTATGGAAAAATAATTTGGTTCCATGTCCGTTGTAAACGCAGTATGAAGTTACGCGCAATTTTTGTTTTTCAAGCATTCTAATTTATTTTGTTAACAAGACCAGCATTTATTCTATTCATTGTCTGTATTTAAAAGGCAAATGTCGTCGATTAAAGCAGAGAAATTTTCCTGTAATTGCAGCGGCAATAACATTTGGTATTTTGTACCAATGATACAACTTTCTTTCACAAAACTTTCGAACCTCCGCGCTTATTCATCCAATCAATGAGGAAATAAGAAATATTTAACAACGTTGCATACTTTTTAATTCAAACTTGAGAGAACATTTGGTAGTTTATCACGTTTTTTTCCAAGCGCCAGGCTGAATTAATGAAAAAAAGGAAGACTAAATTGAAAATCGCGTTATAAAATCAGGCTAATATTTGTTCACTAGGTTTATCTAATAAATGCAATGAATAATTTCCCCTACCTAAGGTGTATGCTTTGCCAAAATGATAAAAGCTCCAGGAAAAATAATACGCCTACAAACGGTATTGTGTCTCTTTAGTGTGTCTAAACATCAAATTGTGATGAAAACAATTTAGGAAAAGTTTACGCCAACTACAAACAGCTGTATTCTTCAATCAAATAGAAAATTCTCGTAATTTTTAATTTGCATTTGTACTTTCCCTCTTGGCCTTTCACGGAGAACTATATCCTCGTCTAGTTCTTTTTCTAATTTTATCAGGAAATTTCCTATTTTTGAATGTGAGCTTGCACTACCGCTTTTCATATTTGAGATCGGAGATGGGATGGTACCACATGGAGCGAACCATATTCGTCGTGACGGTCTGCGAGGGAAAGATCAATTATCTGCGTAAAAATATATTTTAAAAATTGACTTAATAGACGCCCTTCAAGTCTTTGCCATCAAAACGGTACTTTCACAGCCAGCTGTCTATGAATCTCATTGTCAAGCTTTCCCTCGGAGGTAGTGTATCACGCAAATTTAGTAGATGCAAGGATGACCTCACACATAGCAGTAATTCTTAGATTATCACAGAGTAACTCTTGTTTTCATCATACGCTGTAAGAACATTATCTTTGAATCAAACAACGGTGTTTCGCAGGGGAAATAAATATGAAAGATACGCAATACAGTAATTCTAAAAATAAACTATATTTGATGTCTCATAGAAATGACTATCACATTTTGAATTAGAAATGAGTGTGTCTCCAGGCTTATTGCAAGTATATTATGCTACACTTCACCTGACCTGAAGACTTAGTTTGTTAGCGTTCTACCAAAATTTATACAGTGATTTGATGTTCAAATAAATAAATAGAATGAGAGATGTTTAGAGTGATGCTTCCCGGTGAAACCAGCCGTCGACAGAATTTCATCATCCGGTCAATTTATCGGCGGTAAATGCAACAATTATCTTTAATATAGAAGTGATCTTCGAGAAATTTCAGGGACCGAACCCTTTTTTTCTTATAGCTGAACGCTTCAGAGGAAAGGAATAATGTCTCTCTTCGAAACAGGCGATGAAATAAATATCAACGTGATTATTCAAATGTGAAGATCTTCATCGAATGAGGCATATTTTTTCTTAATGGCAGAAGTTAAGCTGTTTGCCTGACATGAAGATGAAATCAAGATCTACATGATTATTTAAATTTGAACATTTCGTCCGCCGAGGTAAATTTGTTCTTAATGGCAGAGGGTTAGCTGTTTGCTTGACAACAAACACTTTTGATAATTAATCTCTTGATTATCATTTTAAATGTTTGCGTATTTGTAGCCCTGTCTATCCGTCTAAGAGAGCCGATAACGGACAAAACAAGATTAAAAAGAAAAAACGAAGCTAAACAAAACAAAATGAACAATCATACAAAGATGATAATAGCCAAACCATAAGAGGAAGGCTTGATGCTCCGTGCGCGTAAGGTAAGGATTCCGTAGCTTCGAAGTATACGCAAATCACACCACATTTTGAATTAGAAATGACTGTGTCTCCAGGCTAACTGCAAGGAGTTACACTACTCTACACTACACTTCACCTGACTAGAAGACTTAGTCTGTTAGCGTTCTAACAAGATTCATACAGTAATTTGATGTTCAAATAAATAAATAGAATGAGAGATGTTTAGAGTGATGCTTCCCAGTGAAACCAGCCGTCGACAGAATTTCATCATCCGGTCAATTCATTGGCGGTAAGTGCAACAGAAAACAAGTTGAAAACGGAGCTTTTCGAAAACGCTATGACTAAATGCACGGCAACTGGACACGGTCCCAAGAAGACTAAGTGCCCGGCAGTCAGAATTTTTCAGTGTGAAGTGATCTTTGAGAAATTTCAGGGACCGAACCTCTTTTTTCTTATAGCTGTACGCTTCAGAGGGAAGGAAAAATGTCTCTCTTCGAAACAGGCGATGAAATAAATATCAACGTGATTACTCAAATGTGAAGATCTTCAACAAACACTTTTGATAATTAATCTCTTGATTATCATTTAAAATGTTTGCGTATTTGTAGCCCTGTCTATCCGTCTAAGAGAGCCGATAACAGACAAAACAAGATTAAATAGAAAAAACGAAGCTAAACAAAACAAAACGAACAATCATACAAAGATAATAATAGCTCAATCATTAGAGGAAGGCTTGGTGCTCCGTGCGCGTAAGGTAAGGATTTCGTAGCTTCGAAGTATACACAAATCCGGTTCATGAACAGACTTGTTAAATTTGAAAACTGAGTGTTAACAACCAGTACTGAAAAGCATCGCAAGTCCTACTTACATAGGCAATGTTCTAAATACCTGCTAATTGTGTTGCGTCGACAACAAATATTCCAGACTAAAACAGGAACAAATGATTGTTGTAGGCGGATTTGGGAAGGAAAATCTAAAAGGGCGTTCCTTTGACAGGATCCGGATTAAGAATTGTGATTCAAGATCACAAAGATCACGGTACATCAAAGGGACGGAGCATTAGTTCATCGGATCAGTTACCATAATGGTAATATATAATACATAATAATGGACAGCAGGCGCGAAATTGTAGAGTGCGTCAGCGGAATCGCGCGCTAAATTTAAAAACGAAAAAAAAAATGGCAGTCGCGTATAAAGCAGCTGTTGTTTCGTTAATAGAGGAACTTTCAGATGATTCCATACTACAACAGGCAAGTAGTTGTGAAGATGAAGAATTTCTATTGTTCTTTTGATAAGGGAGAGGCAGAACCATGTCCGCATTGAGAATTATTTCGAACGTATTAAACCCCTTTCAGATTTTATAAGTCATTTTCGAATTTCAAGAACTACAGTCAGCCGTCTAGAACACCTGTTACCTACTTGCCCAGGTCTGCCTCATGGACAAAGGAATGGGGGAAGACATACCATTGACTTACAGAAGCAAGTATTGATTACGATATGGATACTTGGAAACCCTGAATGCCTGCGATCAGTGGCCGATCTCGGGATTTAACATTACAAAATTGAGTGTATTTCGTGTTTATCACAGAATTTGTGAAGCGATTGCCAACAATCTTTCCGGTCATATTAGGTACCTACCTGTTTGAAATTGAGCACCGCAAAATGATAAATTTCAGATCCTTCGCCCAAAGGAACGGGTTGGATCAATGATCCAATAATCCGTCTTCAAATCGCGCAGATCAGTGATCCGATAAAACCCTGTCCAGAGTGGATTTGATAAATCACTGATCTGAAAATGGATTTGCTCGAAAGGAACACCACAGATCAGAAATCCTGATCCAGATTATCCCAAGGGAACGCACCATAAGTCTGAAGACGCTTTTCTTATTTTTATCTTTTCAGTGACATTGGTTGTCTTGGAGTACTCGTTTATGAGGTTCTCGACGAGGCGATGGCTTTTTACGGCTAACGCTTCATTTCTTGCCATTATAATTAGATTAAATAAAAAATTTTACGGTTTACTTTTCTTATGACCAACGGTTGAAATTCGTCAAATTTTGCGGCAAACGGCTCAATGTTTTGCTGTTTAAAAGCTAACGGTTAACCCCATTCAGACCCTCTGTTAACCGGTGATTTGTTGCATCATACCTGTTTTATTACGTTATCTACCGTGTAAATTTCCTCATGGGGCAACTTACTAAAATCTGAGTTCTTGATAGATGAGCTCACAAATGCATACAAGCTGCGTATGAATTAGTCCTAGATGACAGTAAAATAAATTTTTCTTTCATTTTCTACCATATTCTCCGCCGAAAAACGACATTAATAAATAAATAACAGGTATTATCTTCACCCGGGTTATTTAGCAGGGGCAGGAGAATTATCGTATCTAGTTGGCTCAATCTAAATCTCTTACGAATGTCTGGGGCGGAAGGAAACAACAAATTGCGGAGCGGATTTTTTTCCCAAGGAAGCAAAGCAGGAGTTAACGATTACAAATCGTAAAAGGCTAAGTAGACTAAGTGCTGTTGAATAGCTTTCAGCATGATAACTCAAAGGGCATCAACACCCTCGCAGAACTTAATTTCAGTTCCGCTGCAACTTCTAATCATTGTTTGTTTGTTTTCTATGCTACTTTTTTGGTAACATCGTGTTTTTTTCCTGGCTGTTTTTAATACGTTACATTACATTTTGGTATCATTAGGTATTATGCATTAAATGGACGCATATGGTTAGTACTTTCGTGGTTTTCCTATATGAATAATCATATCATACCTGAAGAGGGCTCTAAGTTCCTTCTAACTTGTTGTTATTTCGATTAAGCCTTACTTCGTCGAACACCGGCGTGATGTTGCGCTGCTATGTTCACTGTTTGACGATTTGGAACTTCAAGTCTGTTCTTATGAGACGGATCAATGCGTTCTTTTCTTCGCCGAGTTCTACTCGGGATTGCATTTGAGAATATAATCTCGTTCTGCAGTTTTCTCATATCCCAAACCGAAACGAACGTTAACTTCTAAAAGCCTATAAGAACTTCCTATTGTTTGATTTTCAAAGATAATACATACCGCATTTGTAGTATCAAACAGGCTTTCCTTATGTAATTGTTTTGAAACTGGTTAGTATGAAACGTGCGCCTTCGCCCAAAAAAGGAAGCACTACGGCGTTTCTGTCACTTGACAACCATAACGGGCTGAACCGCATGAAAACGAGATTAGGAAACCTTCTGGCGATGTTAAGATAATTCTATTAATAAGTACAATACTCTCGAATACATGATTACCGCTCACCGCGCTTTCCTTGGTTTTCGTTTTTCCTACAGTTGATCAGGTCCCGGAGATCATTTGGGACGGCCTATTTCATCCAATGTTGTCGAGAGCTTCCATCGTCAAATTTTCAGTTTAGAAATCATAAATCTTCTTTTCCTAACGTTTCGTGAGTGGTCATTTTGTTCTAAATTAGCCACTAGCTTATCTTGCGCCTCACCTTGATGGGATCTAGCGTTTTTATCCTTTTGATGGAAAACCCGTTGAGATGATTTTAAGGCCGTGCGCTAATACAGAGAATTACAAACAACGTAAACAGTTGGAATCTCGGTTAAAAGGTCTGAGGATTGGCCATAGAAGCATGCATATGTCGCTAAATTTCTTTTTCTTCATCAATCTTCCATGGAAGTGTCATTTTGCCCCAACCCTAACCGTTTACCCCCCACTTCCCATTTCCCCACGTAATGTGCTTTGATGTTCCGACAACCTCTACACCCCAGAGTACGTAAGAAGCATTAAAGGGTCCGTCAAGTGTGGTGTGATCTATAATAATAAGGAATGTCCATCTCCATTATTTCTTTTCACAAATAAAACCTACAGCTTCGTTTCTCATCTTGAAAATATTCGTGGGTCGATTGCCTCTCCATAAGCAGGCCAGTGTTCTGAGTATTTACAGGCTTCATGCTAGACGTAACTTTCTTCAACATTCCCTACCCACCCTACCCCTCTTCATCGAAGAAAACAGTACAAAGGTTTAATATGCCGAGGATGTAGGACGCATTGATGAACCATCACGAATTTAAAAAAAAATCACGGTTGAAAGGCATTAACATTTAATTCAATTCGATAAATGAGGTATAGTATTGTTCGCTCATAACGCAACAGTTTCTCCCCATATCAAGTGAATTTTAGGACAGCTTAATGTCCGAGATGTTGACAAGGTCAAGGTGTTGAAGTAATTAAGGTTATCAGTACAATCTTGTTTATCTGGGATGAACTTCTCGAGTGACTCAGCATAATTTATTCAACATGAACTAATTTACTTGGTCAATCAGAGTCAGGCAAACCTTTTGAATCACTTTTTGGTTCAATCTCGGTTTGTTCCAGCTCTCTTCATAAAAGCTATCGACGATTATGAAAGAAAGAATTCCGTTCCTGCAGAGAAACTGTAAAAAAACTGGTATATCTTTTTGTGTTTGTCCTGTAAATGCTATTTTGAAAGCATCCGAGATAAGAATTTAAAGAAATGGGACCACTAAGTCTTAATGTCGTTAATTTAACCTACTGCGTGTAGGTTCCACGAAACATTCAAACCTGTTCTTCTTTTTGTAATGCAATCTTATTTACGAAAGCTGTTTCTTGCAGCACGCGTTGAATGTCCCACTAAATTTCTTCGGAAAGAAAAAACCACATTTAAAAGTAACGAATCACAATTTCTCTTCCGTGACTATGGCTAATGATTTAATGAAATTATGACACCAGGGAAACAGGCAGGAATCTTGTTTGCTTTCAGGTAAATTGCAGCAAGCTGAATCAGACGTATACATTTTTCTTATAGTAACAAGCCTCGTTTCAGTTGATTGCCTCACACCAGGAGCAAAAAATATTGTCGTGTAAATTTCACTTACAACCAAACACATCTTGAAAAAATACACGAACTTCCCTCTTGGCAGAGTTGACAGGCGATGTGTGAACAGATGTGTGGATTTTTCGTGTCCAAGGCCAAGGCCAAGGCCAAGTTGTCATGAAGTGATAAATAATGCACGATTCACATAAACGAGACACTGACATTTATGCATCACTGACTTTGGTGTAAGCAATATCTTCATCTACTGATACATGTTAAGTTCTTATACTGTAAATCTTAATTATTAGAAAACACGGAATAAAGTGACGTTTCGGTATAAAGTTGTTATTTAAAAAACAAGACCTCCAATTCAGCTTGAATGAAATTTAATCATAACTTGATTTTTTGCCAAAGCAAATATTTGATGATATATCGAGCGGTTTTAAGCAGATATTGGTGCATGTATATTATAAATAGTTTTTTATGTCCAAACATACATTTTTACTTCTACGCGATGAAGAAATTCGAGCTTAGTAAGTGTGGCAACGCGGGCAGAGTAAAAACGATTAAACTGAGTCCAATTTAGAAGTAGTTTACGATTTCTGGGTTCCTCGATATACTTAACATTCCTTACTTCAACTGTACACGGGAAAGGAAGCAATACCCGGCCAAGAAAATTGGAACAGGCTAAGAAAAACTTCGAATGGACGATCTAGAAAGTGTGTTGTGTTCTAGTTGGTTCTCAAAGGTCTTTCTTTCTATGATATAGCCTTTCCTCCTAGAAACTGTGTACGACTTCATTGGCACGTCTTGAAAGAGAAACCCCATATGCATCTTTGCAATTTCGAAAAAATGGTAATCATTTCGTTGTTACAATGCCGTAAAGAAATATCACGTTTTTGTTGTTGTTGCTGTTGCTACATCTTCATTGCCTTAACGCTACTTGAACTTGCTCTTGTCAAATAGTTCGGACTTACCTGTAACATAATTTTATTACCATTTCTTGTAATAATTTTTGAAAGCCAGAACTTGACTTGTGCTGAACTGGAAAATCTCAGAAGTTTTATCCCTCTCCCTAATCGCCTTTGCATAATTTGCATAGCTGATGTAAAGATAGGTTGGTGTTCAAGATCCTGCGGACGCTGTACTAAACGTTTTGAGACATCCTTATACTCCTACGTTAACTAACCAATGTTATAATTTTTTTTAGTTCTACTAAAACCTCACTTCAAGCCTTCTACGATTTTTTCAAAGCGTGGTAAGGTATGTAAAAGATTTTTCGTACCCTTTACTCTCCAGCTTTTGAGTTCCTCTTCAATCTTCCTCACGAATCTTCTTCACGGATATAATTCGTTTGCCCAGATCCGATCTTTTAAAGAAAACGAGAAAGCTACATAAATATTTTAAAAATATCCCTAAAATGTTCCAGCAACGACAAATTTAATGCTAACCCACCTACTAACCAACTTCACTTAATCTTTTTTTTCGACAAAACTTCAAAACACTGAGGTTATCATAATACAGCAGGTGACCGAAACAGTCATTTGTAAATACCCTTGATATTAATCTCTCTAAAAGCTATTTGCATTGTTCATTTGAACACTATATCAAATCCATTAAGGCATTTTTTGAACCCGAGGGCCATTTTGAGTTTCCAAGTCACGGATCCATATGTAACTTATATTGTACGCAATAATTTATATTTTATAGAAGGAAAAATACTTTGACATCTTGTGGCCGTGTATGTGTCGGCGTTTTCGCCAAATTATGTGCGTAATCCAGACAAAATGGCGTCATTCTTACTAGAAATTGACGAACTTGGCCTCTGCCTGAACAAACGTTTTTCTTCTTTCCGAACCAATTACGTGAAAAGGCTGTTACCGATTGAAGAATAAACTCATCATTCTTTCATAAAACGGGAAATAGGTTCTGGCCTTAAATACGATGGTTATCTTTGCCATGAAATCGTCACCATTAAACACCTGCCAAAATCTGCGAAGCCATATCCGTTAAGATTCTCAACATTTAATTTGTGCGAGATTCTATTTACTGCAAGGAGGACGGGACAAATATCGTCGTTTGTATTTCATCCGAAGAATGAAACCATTAGCCGGAGTTAGCTAATGTTTTGCACATGCTCAAGAGTTTAGTTTTCTGCAGGTATAAGCAATATCAAATGCGTCCTGTTACACGGAAGGCACCAGGTCGCGCTTTATATTACGGAAGCCTCTAGAACACCACTGTTTCAATTCTTCAATTTGAAATAAGTGCATATTTCATGTAACACGAGTGGAAAGTTAAAAACAAATGCAAATTACAAACAGCACGCGCGCGCTGCAAAAACATCATCCGTCTTGAATTTCTGTGATGCGTTTTTTATGTAAATTGTTAACAAGTAAAGACATCATTTCTCATGTAATTCGGTGTAAATAAGTGCTTATAAATTTTTCAAAGACTACAAGTTGCACTCGTAGTAATGTTGTTACCTATACAAATGGAGGGTTGGAGGGGTGGATAATGTACAGGAACTGCATACTTGTCCATCAAACTGTATGCTACGCCGAATAAACCTCTCAAAGAACCGAAAGCTTGGGTTTATAATGACGACTTATAAAGTTACTTTGTAGCGTGCGTTAGTTTAACTACTCCAACTTTAGATGCCGATATCTAGACTACCAATCAGAATATCGAAAAAGCCTGCCATACTTTTGTTGATTGATGACTTGTGGATAAAAATGTTCAGCCATTTTACTCGTGTTGTGGCATCCGCTGCCCGATAAATTCAATAGAAGAATCTTCGGTCGTTTCACGCCTTACCGGCTCCTGACACTTCCTTAAAAGTAAAGTCGCTTAAATGATATTTTTATTGTAAACTAAGTGCTCTTCTGACATATAGCTTGCTAGGATTTTAGTAAAACTAGCGTGGGTACGAATTTTTTCCAGAAGGACACTCGCGAAGGTGGGAAGTAACCTTAAGTACGCTCACGCGTTGAGATACGTTTTATGCTAGCTGCAATTCAAACGATAGCCACTTAAATTCGATGGCATATTTCAACCACGTGCTCTTGAAGTTATCCCACACATTTTTCAATTAATTCTCTTTAAAACTCATGTTTGTATTATCAGAAAACAGACACGTCGAGAAGGTGCCACACTCCTCATTAATCCCATGTTTGGGTTCGGAAAGAAGAGCAAACTCTTAAACATCGACTGATCGAATCTTAAATTATCACGCTTTTTCGCCTATACTTCGTATCGTGCAAAGCTGTTTGCCTGGGGAACCTTGCGGCAACAAAAGCCCC